AGGGTCTTCCCCAGAACCCAGCCAAGCTGGCACCCCAACCTCAAAATTTCAGCCTCCAGAACTGTGGGAAATAAATCTCTGTTGTTTATAAGCCACTCAGTTTTTGGTACTTCATTATGGCAGCCTACACTGACTAAACAGTCTCAAAGTAAGTTTTTCGACCTAAAACCATATTTTTGAGACAATAGACCAAATTGCAGTAAGAAAAGAAGCTCTCAATTCAAAACCTTGACAATAAAAAGATATTAGTCACTCTATATTGCAAACAGGCTTGACCTAATTCTGGAGGGCTGATGAGATCCTCAAAATAAATGTGTGACACATTAAGCCTTTTTAGAGTTGGGTTTCCCCAGAAACAGACCCGAAACAAGGGTTTGAGTGCAAGTCCTTTATGCGAGAGGCGATCCCAGGAAGCACCAGCAGGGGAGAGGGGAAGGCGGAGAGAGAGAAGAGATGGAAGCCAATTAACAGTGTGCTATCATATCCGTTCAGTTAGCACCCTGGGCAGCTAGAGCTGATCCTACTGGGGACTCTGGGAGACAGTATAGATTCACCTCCAAACAGACCTGCCTAAGGGAGAAGGGAGCTAGTGGTTATTCTCCAGCCCCCACCTGCCAAGCCTGCTCCCAGGGGCTTTAACTCCTCAGCATTTCCAGCCTGCCCAAGCAGCCAGGGCTGAGAGAAAGCCCTGGAGTGGAGACTGGGGCGGGGGCAGCGGGACACCCTCAGCATATTCAGGAATGGTGAGTGCCAGATAGGTGTGAGCGGGTCATCTACAGTGCCTGCTACAAAACCCAAGGGAAAAACAGACAAGAGCATTTGTCTCCAACTAACTAATGGGTATCAAAACCTAATAATGTAAACTAAGCAAGAAGGTAGGGATCTAAAACAAAAGAAGGTCAGGGCAGAGAAGCTAGAACCTTCTTCTGCCTCTCCTCCTCCCTTTCCTTTAGAGTATATATGTCTGCCTTTCTCTTCTCCCTTCCCGACCTGGAATCTATTTTCCTCTCAGTCTGAGTCTTCTCTCCCCGCTCAGTACTTCCACCCACTCCTCCTGTTCTGACTTTCCCATCTCTTAAGAGCCCATAACACAAAAGTGAAGTATCTTGCTTAATATTTGTTTACTTAGGAACAGTGAGTTTTATGTACACTGCTCTTAATTAAAATCTCAGTGAGTTTTCTATTTGTGGATGGAGAGGCATTCTGCCCAAGAAGGCGGGTGGCAGGGGTACGGGGAGGCGGGGTCTAAAATCTTGGCACCTTCTTACCAATGCACCCCAGCACTTGGAAGGAACACTTGGGATTCAGTCTTTCATTTGGGGCCCATGAAGCAATTCATGTTCTCAGCAACACCAATTATTGGCAATTTCACCCTGTGAGGGAAGTGGGTTTCCTTCCAGACATGTCGTAGTGGTGCCTCAGGAATACTGACTGCAGCTTCATGTGTGTGGGTGGCCCGACAGTGTCAGGCAGGGTGTCTACAGAGAAACACTTGGTCTCCACCCAAACCAACAGTCTACAGTAATTGTTCTCCCCTGCCATTTGTTGGGGAGGAGGGGGGCCCTCTAAATGACTGCATCGAGAAACTAAGCTTCTCACTGCCTTCCAGACCTTCCTCTCCCCTTCCAATTCATTTTTAACATAGCTTTCCCCAAGATCACCCAAATGTCACCTCCTCTGAGAAGCATTCCCTGGCTCCCTCAAGCTGACAGGCACACCTCTCCTCTGTTTCTTGAACCTGGGGCCACCTGATTGTATATCATGACCCAGATTATGCTGTCTGCTCACCAGACTGTGGGCCCATGGAGAAGTGAGTCCCCATACTCATTATTTGTCTCACTGGGGGTTCAGCACAGAGTACGAGCTTGGTAAATGTTAAGTGAATGAATGAATGAATGAATGAGTGCCAAGACTTACTAGCGCCTCAGACCAACTTGTAAGAACACTTGGGCTGATAGCCAGTGAGAAATGTAAAATTTCCAGAGGTCAGGAAGCCCTGGGGTGAGTGTGGGGCCAGAGGAAGCCCAAGTGACTGAACTTCCCCCTTCTAGAACTAGGATGCTCCATTCTCATTGATTTTGCATACTGGGTTTCTAGAACTGGAGATCCACCTTTTAAAACAGTTAAAAAACCACTGTTCTACAGTTAGGGGGCATAATCTTGCTTCCTCTCCCCACTTCCACTTATCCCTTCCAAAAACCAGGGGGCATAACTTACTCAAGGGAGGCTTGTCTGGGACCTAGGTTTACTGAATCCTAGTCCAGGGCTCACTCGGCTAAATACCACAGCCAAGCAGAGGTCTGGTCCTCCTTTAAATGAAGGCCTTGAACCTGGAGGCCCAGCCCTAAAAGGGAGTCTGGGGTGGGGAGTTGGGGAACGGGTAGAGGCAGGGGTATGGGGTATTGGGGCTGATACCCCTGACCTGCAGTGGGAGAGGTCAAGGGAGATATGATTGAGACCCCAAGGTCAAAGTGGAGCTCAGGAGCCTAGACTGGGTTTGTTGGGGTGGGGCCCAAGGTCAGGACAAGGTCCCTCCCACAGCCTAAGCAAATAGATCAGGGGTGGCCCCAACCCTGAAGGATGGAGGTCAGGAGCAACCCGGAAAGGGCAAATCCCTACTGGACCTAGGTCCTCCCACCTCACACCCTACTTTGTAGGGAAGAGCAGAAACCCTGGGGACATCCAGGAGGCCAAGGATGCTGTGGGGCTTCGAAGGTGCTGGGAGCCCTCTAAACAGCAGCCAGGAGAGGGACGGGAGCGCCACCTCCTGGCGTCTTTGGGAAGTGCAAATTAGACCCGCAAACCTCAGGTCTCAGGCAATAGGGGTTGGAGGGTGAGGAGGCGCTGGGCCCAGAAGAGAGGATCGGCTGTTCATTACTTTGCCTTTCTCTACATATTATCATGGAAAACTTCAAACACGTACAAAAGCAGCGAGAACTGTGGTCATGAACTCCCAGATACCCATCACTCTACTTCCCCAATTATTAGTTCATAGCTAATCTTGCTTCCTCTCCCCACTTCCACTTATGCCTTCCAAAATATTTCAAAGCACTTCCTAGACATCATATCACTTCACCTCTAAATGTTTCCATATGTATCTCTAAAATAAATATTTTTACAATGTAACTACAATTTTATTCTCACCAAAATAAATAATTCCTTAATATGAAATATCTAATTCTCAGGAATTCATAAATGTTTTTCTAGTTTGTTCATCAGAATCCTAATAAAATTATGTTGTAACTGGTTCAACGTCTTTTGAATCATTTTCGATCTATAAGTTTCCCCTCCACTTGTTTCTTTGTTGTTGTTGTTGTTGTTGTTGTTGTTGTTGTTGTTTGCTTGCAATTCATTTGTCAAAAAGAATCTGGTCATCTGTCCTGACATTTCCCGGTCTGGATTTTGCTGGTTTCATCCCTGTGGCATTATTTCACACGCTCCTCAGATTTTTCTGAATTGTGAATTCTGTCAGTTGGAGTTGAATCTGGAGGTTTATTCAGATTCTGCTTTGATCACTTGTCATGTCAACTTCAGAGGAGCTGTCACGTTCCATCAGGTGATGTCAACTGGACTCTCTCCTTATGATGTCCTCAACCATCTTTGATCACTACCTAGATCCATTATTCCATGGGGACTGCAGAACACTGATATTCTAATTCCATCATTAGCTGTTTACTTTTAACTCCAAGATTTATTATTGATTCAGAATTAGTTACCACAAGAAAAATGGCCCCATGGGGAAAATCCTCTTCTGGACATTGGAGCAAGTCTTCTTTTTCTAGAATTGTGTTGTTCATTAAGGTAGCCACTACCCATATATGGCTACTGAACACCTGAAAAGTGGCTAGTACGAATCTGAGATACGATGCAAATGTAGAATACATTTCCAGTTTCAAAGACTTAATATGAAGTAATGTTAAATAGCTCATTAGTAATGTTTATCATTTGCATAGTGAGATAATATTTTGAATAGATTGGGTTAAATGAAATCTATTATTAAAAAATTAATATTACCTGTTCCTTTTTACTTTTTGAATGTGGCTACTAGAAATTTTTTAATTACATATGCGGCTCACATCCTGCTTCTGTTGACAGCACTGATCTAGGACTTAAGTTGTCTCAATGAATTCATTAACACTTCCTTGAGTTCTATCTATGTGTCAGGCACTATTCAGAGACGATACAGAATATTTCCACTGTCCACTTTCCTCTTGCCACTTTCTGGTCATATGCCTTCCATCCCTGTCACTAACAGCCACTTACATGTATTCTATCTCCTTAATTTTGTCTTTTCCATAATGTCATATAAATGAAAACACATAGTACGTAGCCTTTTAAGTATGGCTTCTTTCACTTAAAATAATGCTTTTAAGAGTTATCCATGCTGTTGCATTTATCAGTAATTGTTCCTTTTTATTGCTGAGTAGTATTCTCTTGCATGGATGTATCACAGTGTATTTTTTCGCCAGTTGCTGGACAAGAGAAAATTTGAAAGCAATAAAAAAGAGAAACAAAAAAGAAAGTACAATAAATGGAAAATATGAAATAAGATAGCAAAACTGAGGCCTAATAGAATAGTATTTATAATAAAGATAAATGGGTTGAACTTATCAAACAAAAGATAGAGAATCTAAGATTGAATGAGCAAAACAAGATCCAATAGGTACTATTCATAAGCAAACATTTAAAACAAAAGGAGAGATTAAAGAAAAAGATATAGCAGACAAATATGAACCAAAAGAAAGCTGCGATAATCATCCTAGTATCTGACAAAACACAATCCAATGCAAATAGATTTTCAAATCACCACCCATAAGCATATATTTTCACTAAAAAATGTAGCTTCAGTATACATAAAATGCCTAATTACAGAAATGTACAGAAATGAGGAAATCAACAATTGTATTTAAAGAATTTAATTCATCTGTCTTAGAAACTGATTGAGCAGATAAACAAATATCTCAATCAGTAAGCTAATACATACATACAGAAATCTCAATACTACAATCAGTCAACATTCTTTTCAAGCACACATGGGACATTTACAAAAACTGACAATTAAACCAAAATAAATTTCAAAAGATTAATATCAATTAGTCTCTCTTCTCTGACCATATGCAATAAAATCAAGAAAAGATAACTGACAAATTCTCACATCTGGAAACTAAATAATAAACTACTAAATAACCTATGGATTAATAAATAGATTATAAGAACTAAGCAACAAAGTACTACATGTCAAAATTTGGAAGAACAGGCTAAAGCAATACCTGGAGGGAAAACGTATAGTTTAAAAAGTATTTCTCGTAAAACCAGAAAGATTTAATACAAATAAGCTAAATGCTCAAAAAAGAAGTTGGAGGGCAGCAGGAAAGATGAACTCTAATACTGGAGATGGAGAAAGATTTAGAATATGTTTTGAAGAGTGAATCAATAGGATAGATGAAGAGTCTGGAACTCAACAGAAAGGTCATAACTAGAGATATGAACCTGGGAATCATTAGCATATAAGTAGTATTTGAAGCCACAGTCAGAGAGCAAGTGTAGGTAGAGAAGATTATAGAACCCAGGTGAGTTCACCAAGGCCTTAATTCTGAGTTTAAACTGGTGAGATCTTGTTGAGGGCGCCAGGGTACATTAGGTGCAGAGATGCTGCCCCGTACCGACAAAGTTTACCGGAGCCTGGTGTGTAAACCAGAGCATGTGACAAGGAACGCAGGTAGACAGGATGTCATCGTCATCATCATCTTCATCATCACCATCATTATCACCATCTATTCACTCATTTCTTCAATATCTCAACCAAATGGTATTATTACTCCCTGAAAGGGGAAACTGAGGTTCAGTGAGCTTTAGTAACTTTGTCCACAATAGTAGGATCCTACCCCAGACCTCAAGCACTGCATTGCCAGTACAAAGATGCTCACTGCCACATTATTTATGACAGTAAAAAACTGGACACAACCTAAATTGCCATCATTAAGGGACTGTTCAAACAAGTCTAGGTATAACTGATAGGCTGATCCATTTACAATCTATTCCAAAATTCGGTGATAGGTACAACAGCAGAAGCACGCACATCGGGCCCACCATTGGGATTCATGCCCTGCTCCACCACTAATAGACAAGTCACGTTACCTCCCTGAGCCACAGCTTCCCCATCTGTCCAGTGGGGTATAATATTGTTCCCTAGTGACCCTCCAGGTCTGAGGTAAAAGCCAAATAGAAATAGATGCAAAAGCCTTTTGTTTCAACAGACAACTATGCAAACGTGAGGGGTGATGATCGCTGCTTCCAGAACTGCAAACAGACCTGGCTCCACTTGGGTGACTCCTGGAACTCTGAGAGGCCCAGTCCTGCTAGCAGTGTGACAGGATCAGATTGCAAGGCCCCCATGCTTCTGTAGCTTTTCACATACACATAGAAAGTCACCCTTGGACTCCAGGGACCGGGGTCTCCCTGCCTTGTGCCCCTACTTTAGAGAGCCCTTCTCTGGCCTTTCAATGGCCAGTGCCCCTCTCCACAGGGCAAGGAGTCTGAGGGACCAAGAGGTGTGCTTGCCTGTAGCCTGTCTCCCTCCCTGGACCATGCTGCAGTTCTGCAGGACCCCAGAATTCCCTGCCTAAATGCCTGCTTCCAGGACCTTCCAGGGCCTGCATTAATCCTTCTTTGGGTCCTTCCTCCCAAGGGTGGACTGGCTCCACTGTGTGCACCCCTAGCCTCAAAGGGTCAAACAGAGGTTATCTGCAGAGGGAAGCAGGAAGTGTAGCAGGTAAGGAACAAGTGGAGTGACCACACGCATGTAGGGAGACCCCCCTGTGGCACAGGCGAAAGCTGGGGATGGGAAGAGGATGGGCTCCGGACCAGAGCCTCCATTTGTACACTTGGCCCAGACCTCTCGAATACTGGGGTTATGCACAAACATCACGACACTGATCATACCCTTCCCTTCCCCTGTGAGGCTGGTGATAAAACACAGAGAGCAAAAACAATCATTGCTGGAGGCCTAATTATGACGAGCAGCCTGGTAGTGCTGTATATAGACTCTGCTTTGGGGGAATGTGCTGATTTATGCAGTTCCCAACATTTAAAGGTGGAGACCAGACTGTGGCTGAATCAGATCGGATCGTTTTCTGGGACAAATTGCAACCCTGAGCTGCTGAGCAAATATCTATAAAGGACTGTCTCTCTTTTCCCCGACCTGCTACTAGCTTTGCCTTGGGTTCTCTGGTCATGCCTTTGAGCCAAAGGCTCAAGCTGCCCTCATAGGTAGTGAAGCGGAAGTCAGAAATTAATGAGCACCAGCTCTGTGCCACACTCTGGAGAAACTGAGGCATTTCAAACCAGGGCCTCCAGGATCTCACAGCCTAGTGAGCTCAAACAGAGCCTCTTGGCATGAAGGTTGTCCAGCTGTGGAAGATTGCAAAAATGACACCAAATCCCCCCACCCTCATTTCTGCACCTTCCTGCTATGTTACTTTGAACGCCCTCCCACTCTGATGCTGGGCTCAGTCAGGAGACTTGTTTCGGCCAATAGGATGCTAGCAACCATGTGAGCAAGGGTTTGAAAAGCTCATGGGCAGTGGGGTTCATCCTCTTTGGCAGCTCTTTGAATCCACCATGTGAGGAAATCTGGGCCAGCATGCCGGAGGATGAGAGACCCCATGGACCCACGTGGGAAGAGCTACCCTGCCCATCATCTCAGACACCCCAGACAGGGCCATCATAAGCCAGCCAGCCCCAGTCAACCCAATGCACTGCAAACACATAAGTGAGCCCAGCCTAGTCCAAACCACTCAGCTGAGACAGCCCAAATTCCCAAACTACAAAATTGTGAGTTAAATGGATATTGTTTTCAGCCTTCCACAGCAAAAGAGGCCTAAGCCAGATTTACAAAGATGAGTAGGATATACCGGGTAGACAAACAAGGAAAGGTAAATCAGGCAGAGGGAACGGCATAAGCAAAGAAAGGCATGGGGTCTCTGTTTTCAGAGAATCACAAGCCATCCAAGATGACTAGATCACAGGGCCTCTGGGAGGGATGAGGCTGGCGAGTCAGGCAGAGGCCTTGCTGTAGACCTTCGTGCTGCGTGTGGGAGTCTGGACTTTACCTAGAAAGCAGTGGGGAGGCCCTGATGGAATCTGAGCAGGAGAGTGCCAAGGTGGGATGTGTATTTTGCAAAGGTCACTTTGGCAGCTGTGAGGAATATCAGGTGCTCACCCTCCATCTCCAGCACGGGGCCAGTGCCACCAGCCTCTAAAAGATGTCAGGCAGCACCCCTTCTTCCCTCCCTGCCCCCGACCTCAGACAGGAGGTGCTGCTAAGATCCCTAAATTCATTTAAAATGAACGCAAAAAATGTTTTTAGAAACCAGTTTCCATGCCTGAGACAGCAGTGTTGCCTCAAGGGCAAAGACAGGCACATTGGATTCTCAGAGTCAGTGACAAGGAGGGACAGGTGTGGACAATGAGAAGACAGCTTCACAAAACCATCCCCTTTCAGAGTTAGATGGGGACCCCACCCCCTCTGAAGTAGATCCCTACCACACATCCTTGCCTTCATACCTTCAGTGATGGGGTACTCAGCACTTTCTCTGCCCAGAGTCCTTCATCACAGGCTTATTACTGGTCCACATCTGCTTCTGTGCACAGCAGCCTTCAGAGATAACAAGATGCCAATTGAAAACCCCAATTTTCAGCACAAACATAATTCTGATTTTATTGACTTGTGCAGAACGGGCAGGGTCAGCACTCACTTCATTCCCAAAACCAAATTTATATCAATGTAGCCTGAATAAGCTTTCATGGCAGTTACATCAGTCCCACCCCATATTACCTCCAGGATCACTTCTCTGGATGAGGTGGTGTTTTGTACATCCTTCTATTATAGCTGAATTGCAATTTTTTTCCCTACGTGACAAGATTATTAAAAAACAGGCTCTAGAGCAAATTCATCTGTGTCCTTTCCCCTCCCCAGAGCAGCACGAAGCCTGGCACAGAGTAGCAGCTCATCGAACATCTGCCAAAAGAATGAGCCTCTTTCCTAAAAGAGTAAAGGTCAGCAGATGGGACGTACTGAGCAAAACAGTCTACTAACAAGTTATGGGCTCAGAAGCTAGACTGCTTAATTTCAAGTCCCTGTTTTCAATAACACCTCCCCTTAGGCCCACAGTTCCCCAACTGTGTGCCAAAACACCTCTGGGCACTGCAGCAAATACATGAAGGTACCACAGGTTATCATAAATGGTTGAGAGAAACACGGCAGTATCTGCTGGACACCCACAAACTACAGCTCACGGCAGCCACAGTTTCAACATTAATTTGTGCTACATTCCTTCTGATGACATCTTATCTTTGCAAAGCTGAGTTTTCAGTGGTTACAGTGATAAAAAGCAAATAGCTCATGAAAATCAATGTAGAACAAGAAATGAGATGGCAATGTCCCATCTGATTTTAAGTTTTGAAAAGCTGTGCAGTGTCCAACAGACACACACATATCCTATTACTTATGTAATTATTGTTAAGATGGAATAAATTTTTTTCCCTTAAACTTATGTGAGTTATTTTTTCAAATGACTAATTTAGGACATACCTGTAAGTTGTTTGGATCTAACTACCTAATAAAACTATGTATTTCTTTTGGCCTTTGAGCACCATAAAAAATTACTGAGATACTAAGGGTACTGAGAAATTGTGGGAATCTCTTTCAAGCATCTTACATCATCTCTCTGGACCTCAGTTTCCCTAAGAATAAATTGGGAATGTCAATAATATATCATAAAGCTGTTCATAGGATATGATGGTACCTGGTACCTAATAACTGCTGTATATATGTTATTATTACAAAGAGAGGCCAAATAAGAAGTTGGCAAGATTATAGAGGAAATGTCTAAAATGCCTCTAAGAACAATTTTATAATATTCTCTTCTTTTATTAATAACTATCATGTACCAAGTGCTTAGACATACATTGCAAAGAGCATTGGACTAGGAGTCATAAGATGTGTTCTGGCCGTAGTCCAGCTTTGAAACCCTGAGCAAGGCACGCCTGTCTCGCTAAGTCTCAGTTTCCACATCTCTACGTTATACGTGCAAGTGGTGACCATGGAGATGGAAGAGGAAGTTATGACTATTTCTTCAGTTGTGCAGACACCAACAGGGACCCAACCACAGATGGGATAGTGCCTCCTATACCATGAACAGGGCAGACATCAGGAAGTGGGTGATTAATATTGTGCAATTGATATGCAAATTACAAACCATCTTTATCAGCTTGTTGCTGTAAGTTCCCCAGGCTCTGGAGGCCACAATCTGAAAGAATGAGTTCCTCGGCTTAGTCTGAGTTGAAGGTAATTAAGCACATCAGAGTTACAAAACCACATGCTTCAAACTGATTCAGACCTTTCTCTAAATTAGACCATCTCAGAATGTGTAGGAATAGTATGAGGTTTTGCCAGCTGTATAATCAGTTCCGTATTCAATTCCTTAAATAGAGATTTGTTGATAAACCAACCTACTGTGTTTAAAATGCAGTTTGTCTTCGAAAAGAAAATAATAAAGCTTCCCTTTAAAAAAGATCTCAGTTTTCATCAGATCAAATTTCCTTTGCCTTTTGCCTCTAGGGTTCCTAGGGACTCTGATTTTTTTTTAATGCTGAGTTATTCCTCTATTAGCTAGTCATTGAAATCGACCTCATTCTCATAGAGGGGTGATTATGGGCACAGAAAATGCATTCATTCCTTTTATAAGGCTCATGGCTGACAGAAGTGATTTCGCTAGTAGTGTCAATGGAAATGGGTGTTTTATAAAACAAGTACTAAAATTGTTATAAAGCTGATTTTGGCATGTTTTCCTAAATTTTTTTTTTAAAAAAAAGGAAAATGGAAAAATAGTTTCTCCCAGATGAAGGGCTCTACATGTAGAAATAAGACTCCGTGATCTAAACTTTCCCTTCTCTCCTGCCCAACTAATCAAAGAAGATGGGTGTGACTTCCTGACTTCGCCCACCTACTTCTAGGCCACCCAGCTCTGTCTCTGAGCCTACAGCAGAAAACAGACCTACCCATGCTGCCCAGATCCTCTCCGTGGGCACATGGCATGTAAACACTTTAAATGTTTAGATTCAACAAAACAATTATCTTTTTGGCTTTCAAAAAGTCACCTTACCCCATGCTCACTTGAGACTGGCCCCAGGACCTCACCTCTCGTAGAAGGGAAGGTCTCCCATAGTCAGAGGGGTGGAGTCAATACCTAGAGTGTCTTTCCCACAAAGCTCCTAGAGCCAGATTCAAATCCTGGCTCTACCACTTACTAGCTGTATGACTTGGAGCAAGTCACTTAACCTTGTTGTGCTTTGTTCTTCTCAACTGCCACGTAGAAGTAACAATCGAAAATCAAATGACTTAACATCTGTAAAGCACTTGGAATAAGGCCTGACATACATTATTGATAAAAGCAAGCTGCGGGGTTTTGTCTCATGTTGGCCGACTGTCCTTTACTCCTGCACCTCCTGGCCGCCTGCACCCAGGACAGTCTATTTCCCTGGTGAGCTCCCTGTTCACTTCCTAACTTTGGGCCACTCCTGCCTTCTGATCCAGACAAAAGTCTGTCAGGCCTGACATTGCTCGACAACCCAGTCTGTCCTCTTGCCTTCTCCATGGAGACTGATTCAGACCAGCTTCTCCCTCCAAGCCTCTGACCCTCATTCCCTCCTTCTTCACAGTGAAAATAACGCCATCAAACAGAACCCTGTCAGCTTCCTTCCATGCCCCTAACTCCGTCTGCTCCCAGCCGTACACTCTCACTCCCTTACCCGCCTTCCTGCCGGAGTAGAGACAGTCCCATCACTTTGCCATCTGAGGCTGGCTCTCAGCCCTGGCGGGGCCTACCCGCGCAGTTGTGCAGTTCGTGTACTGCATAAGGGCACCTAACCAAGGTGTCAGCAGGGACAGAAATCCAATCCATCTTTGTTTTCCAAGTCCTACACCCTGACATGAAATGCCCAGACATGCGTGCCTTTTCTAATTCATCCACGCAGAGTGGCCCATTTTTCAAATTTGAACAAAAGTATCTTAAAGGCGCGTGGGAAACCCAGCCCCTGAGCGTAAAGCTTCTGACACCACTGTTCATTCAGAGCCCTTTCTCCCTCAGTCACCTCTTTATCAGCCTCTTCTCTTCTACCAAGTTAAGCCATCAGTTCCAGAGCTGTCATGGGCAGTGGACAACATTAAGGAAAACTAGCCAACAACTGGAAATGGGGCAGAGAAGTTACAGCGCTCCTGCAGTGTTGAGTGTTGCGAAGCAGTTGTCCCATTCCCCATCGTATAATTCTCTGTCCAATAGGTAGTCAATAGCCACATGTGACTACTGAGCACTTGACATGTGGCATCTGAACTGGGACGTGTTGTAAGTGTAAAATACACACTGGATTTCAAGGACTTAGTAAGAAAAAAAGAATGTCAAATACCTCACTAATAATTTTTACATTACATATTGTATTCGTACCACAAATTGGGTGACTTAAAATGATAGAAATGTATTGCGTCAGCAGAACCATGCTCCCTCCGAAACCTAACGGCAAGAACCGTCCCTTGCCAACTCCCAGACCATGGAGATGCTGTCAGTCCTTAGCATTCCTTGGTTCCAATCTCTGCCTCTGTCTCCACGTGGCATCCTCCTCTAATAGGATACCTCCTTAAATAAGACACCAGCCATATTTAATTAAGAGCCCATTTTACTTCATTATGGCCTCATCTTACTAACTACATCTGCAAGGAACCCTTTCCAAATCAGGTCACATATTGAGGTGCTGGGGATTATGACTTCAACATATCTTTTTGGAGGACACAGTTCAGCCCATAATACATCTTTAAATGATACCATTTTGAATACACTGAATTAAAGTAAATAAAATGAATAATTGTATAAGTGGCTTACTCCAGGGGTTCACATTGTATTTCTATTACTCCAGGAGTGTGCACTGTATTTACTATAGATTAGGTTACTTCACAACTATGAAAGTGTACACGTTAACCCTAAAAAACCAACAATGATCAATGAATTTTATCCTGAGGGATGTAAATGAAAAGATTATAACCCAAAGACTATGAATTTCTTTTCTATGTTTTTAAGCAATCTTATTCCAACATTCTTTCTTTTAGGTGTCTATAAATATTTCTGTCTCTCTTAAACTTTTTTGAACTCTCCTTACCATCTTGCTGGTTCCCTCATTAAGGAGTTAATTAAATCCTTGACACATGCTCACTTTATGGAAAGTTAAGCCTTCAACATTTTGAAAATTATACTTTGACATGGGGATTCTGAAGACAATGGAGCCTGAACAAACTCCCTTTTCTTCCCATCCCCATTGCAGGCTAATGTCTTTTCTGAGCAAGAGCTGGTTCTTGAAGAAAACACCACTATGGGGTTCCCTCCCTCCTGGACAATGAACGAGAGAGCAGTTCAGAGGTAAGAGCTAAAAGTGGCCATCCAAGGAAAAGCTGGGCTTTCAGGATCCATGGATCGTGCATGAGCTGCTGAGCCTTCCTGACCTTTAAAAGGCCAGGAAGTTGCTAATCTTTTAGTTGCCCACCCCAAGTCTGAGAGAGTTCAGAGAGACCAGGGGGCAGAGAAGCTTCCTTTGGATGCGTTGGCAGGG